AGGGCCCAGCCAGCCAACCAGCCAGGCAGCCGGCCAGGCAGCCGGACGGCCAGCCAGCCAGCCAGACAGCCAGCCAGCCAGCCAGAAGTTAACCAGAAGCCACCCAGCAAGCCAGCCAGCGAGCCAGCAAACCAGCCAGACAGCCAGCCAGACAGCCAGCCAGCCAGCCAGCAAACCAGCCAGACAGCCAGCCAGCCAGTTAGCCAGCCAGCCCGCCAGCCCGCCGGCCTGCCAGCCAGTCAGCCGGCCAGCCGCGGCCAACTAACGATTATGGTTGGCTTTTGGTTGCCTCTGGTTGGCAGGCACCCGCCAGCCAAGTTACACGGGTTTTGGCCCCATTTCCAACCAGAACGAACCACAAGCCAACCGAGATCGGCTTGACACCATGTAGGTGCATCTGGTTGACTTCTGGTTGCTTTCTGGTTGGTCATGGGTTGTTCTGGGCGTTCTAGCCGCTCACGTTACACGTGTTTAGGCCGCATTTCTAACCAGAAACCAACCAATTTCAACCGAACAGCACTTACACGTTGTAAACAAACTTTACACGTTGTAAACACGAACTCTGGTCAAAGAACGGTTCAGGATGAAGAGCCGGCCTCGGGGAAAGGGTCGGGACTTCCAGGGGCGCCGCCCTGAAAGAAGCAGGGCGTCGCACGTCCGGGACGATGGCAGTCGAAGCGCATCGGGCCAGCCCCGAGCGATACCGGATCGGAGCCATCGGACCGAAAGCGGCCGTGGGGGAGGGGGCGTCCAGCAGCGCGGCTCACGGATGGCGGCCCGAGGCGCGCGCGCGGACGAGGGGGGGGGGCACCAGGGGACGCGCCGGGAGGAGGAGAGCGGGCCTCGAAGTGCAGGGGGGCGCCATGGCCCCGGGCACGATGTCCACCCCACCCCCGGCGCCTCTCCCCCCTCCTCGGAGGAGGCCCCCGAGCCTGCGTGAGAATCTGCGCCCGCGGCGCCCGGACCTCTGGCTGCCTGGGTCCTTCGGCCTTGGGCGCGTTTGGCCCGATGTCGGCTGCTGGGGCCTGTGCTCGGGCCCCGAGGCCCTCGAGAACGAAGCCAGGACCGAAAAACGACAACCCGCGAACGGGCAGGGCCGGGACCTCGAAGGCCACGAGCGAAACAGAGCTGACCAAAGACGAACTAAGTTGTGTATATATATAGTGTTAAAAAAGAGCGTATGGATTCTAGTATGTATGGATATTTCTGGGATGCATACTTTAATGCTATGTTAGTATTAATAGTATGTAGATTATTTACTTGTTTGAATATTGCTAGTATGATCGTTATTTCGGTGCGACTCTTGTTCTTATCATTAGTAGTATTAGTAGTCATACTGTGTTTCTTATTCCTCCTCCTCCTCCTCCAAACAGATACTTTCAGCGTGCTCTAGACGCGCAGCGGGGCAGTAGCGCTCAAACAAAATCCTCCTCCTCCTCCTCCTCCTCCTCCTCCTCCTCCTCCTCCTCCTCCTCCTCCGGCCCCCTCACTCGTCGCCACGGCTGGGCGCGGCTTGGAGAACAGAGAGGGATACTGCCCGGGACGGACGGTGCCAGAGACTGTGCGTCTCGGCACCAACTCTGGACGGACTCTTGGACGGTGGGACGCCCAGTGGCCGCGTGCACCCGGCCTTGCCAAGCAAGGTTCCTGGGGCCCGGGACCGACGGATTGCGCCCCCCTGGCCGGGCCAGAAGGAGCACACGCCAGTCCTGGGCCAGGGACTGGCCTGTCCGTGATCGAAGCTGTGCTGTCGATGTCTTTGCTGTTCGGCGGCAGTCGGTTGGTAGTTGGCGACCCCCCGACACCAGCCCCATCCTCCCCCCTGACCAGTTCCACCTCCCACCTGCTGGACCCCGCTGGACACCCTGGAGCCTCTCAGAACCTTCCGAACCCCTGCAATTCTCCCCCCTGACCAGTTCCACCTCCCACATGCTGGACCCCGCTGGACACCCTGGAGCCTCTCAGAACCTCCCGAACCCCTGCAATTTTTTAGCAAAAACCTTAGACCCCACAAACAAACCTAAACCATCAAGCCCTCCTCCTCCTCCTCCTCATCCTCCTCATCATCCTGTCCGAGAGAGGCATTGGCTTCGCCCGATGTCCTGAGCGTTGATCAGGCCCGGGCTCATTCTGCAGCACAGCCATTCCACCACCTGACTGGCTCCAGACACCCTGTGGAGACAGCGACGATGAATTGTCTTGGTGGGGGCCACCATAATAAACGACGACGGAAAAGGGTCTCGAGGACACAGCGACTTTGAGGAATGGCTCACGCAGGCCGCAAGCGCGGCACACCCACATGGAAACGAGGGCGCTGGCCCTCTACGTTGCGCAGGGAGCTTACGCACGAGTGTTCTTGCACTTGTCCCCGTTGTTCTACGTCGTGGGACCGGGCAACATGGGCTTAGGGGATCGCACCAGCAATACATCGGCCACACTGGGAAAGCAAAGCTCAAGCTCTCTAGACCGTGCCGCGTCACCGCTGCACCGACGATGCGGCGCGATCCTCAGACCCCATGTGTGTTCGGCCCCTTTGGGCAGCCTCTCGGGGCCAGGTCTCACAGCGGGCACAGCACATGAGCAATCGGCCTGCCCGCAGGTGCCCCACGGTAGGTCTTTGTCTCCCCCGAATGGACCCACCGAGGCCCTGGGGCACCTCGGGACCTGCACAAGCCGACGAAGACCGTGACCCCCAAGACTTCCTGTGGCAAGACTCCTTGATTATCCCATCCTCCTCCTCCACCTCCTCCTCCTCCTCCTCGTCCTCCTCCTCCTCCTCCTCGTCATCCTCCTCCTCCTCCTCCTCCTCCTCCTCCTCCTCCACCTCCTCCTCCTCCTCCTCCTCCTCCTCCTCCTCCTCCGCCTCTCCTCCTCCCTCCTCCTCCTCCTCCTCCTCCTCCTCCTCCTCCTCCTCCTCCTCCTCCTCCTCCTCCTCCTCCTCCTCCTCCTCCTCCTCCTCCTCCTCCTCCTCATGTGTCTCCTGCACCTGTGCCGGCGAGAGGCCCCCCCGTCGGCTCCCGCCGCCTCGCGCCGACCCTCCGGCTAGCCTCCGGCGGGTTGTGGGGCGTGGCGGAGCCCACAGGCCTTGGCAGGCTTTGGCCTCGGTGCCGTCTCCGGGCCTCCTCGGCCGGCCTGGAGGGATGGAGGTGCAGGCCGAGCCCAGGTGGGGGGCAACGATAGGGGGGGATAGTAGGCATAGGGGGGGATGCCTCGACCTGGAATCGAAGAGGCATCGTCGACAGATCGGCGAGAGGGCCCCGACAGTGGATCCGCACCTTCCTGGGCAGGGTGGGGCTGTCGGGCCCCTGTCGGCGATCAATGGGCGATCGGGGGTCGACGCGTCCCCCCCCTATGCCTATCCCCCTCTACCGCTGCCCCCGATTAGGGGCGTGGGCCCGCCGGGCGTTCCTCTGTGCCGCTGCTGGCCGTGCCTGTGGCTCGCTGGCACCGGCCCCTGAGCGCGCCAGTGCTCACACGCGCGTGCGAAGAGGTGGGAGGGCCTGTAGCAAGATGTATTCCGGTGAGGCCATTGGACCAGGAACCATTGGATGAGGCACCCTTGGTTTGGAAGGCGATGAGCAGCAACAGAAGCTTGGCCATGGCTAGCACCGCCGCCCTCATCAGATGAGGAATCATCCCTGGTATGAAGCCTCTGAGGCACATTCCTGACCGAACGCCCCAACCGTATCCCATGTGCCCACGGCAGCTTCGTTCGGCGTCGGCGCGCGCAAAGGTTTTTGACACCGCGTCGATCGTTCAACCTTGAACCGATCGCGGCCCCGATCGTTCAAGGCTGAATTCCGTCGGGCCCCGTGGCGTGACCGTGTCACGCCGTGCTTCCGCATCGTTCCATCATGCGGAACTCAACCTTGAACGCCTTCGCGGACGTCGCCGGCGCGCCATCGCCGCTTGAACCTACCGTGCTAGGGGAACGAAAAATTGCATAAACGTACAAACTCGGAGGTTCACGCGGATTGCTCGGATCGCCTCCGGACCCCCCTCTCTGGCGCGCCGAGTGCGCCAGGGGCGGCGCAGGAGGCGCCGCCAGGAGGGTCCAGCGCCGATCCGAGAAATCTGCGCGGACCTCCGAAATTTATGTTGACTTCATTGTTCGTCCCCCTACGCGCTGCACTGCACTTCCGCCGGCAGAATGCTGCCCCCTTGTGTGAAGTCCCGAAACGGTGCGGTGACAGACCGTGCGGTGACCTCGAAAAATCCCCCAGGACCTCACCGCACGGTCCGTCACCGCACGCTTCTGGGACCCTGGAGGCCCCTGTCGCCCGAGACATTCTCGAAGAGGGACCCGAGTCCCAAAACCCTGAGATCCGACGTTGCAAAAAAGAATTGCACCATCGCAAAGATCACGCCCGGAGCCCCGGACCACAGCTCTCTGCGTCACTGTTCGCGCCAGATCGAGGTGCGAGGGCCCGAAGTGGAGCAAAAACGCCCGTTGTGAAAAAATTGCCACGCCACGACCTCGGGGAGCCGTGCGGTGACCCCGAGGATCCACCGACTCACCACGCGGGGTGGTCACCACCCCGCGTGGGGGCCCCCGCCGACCTGCCGCCAGCCTCCGCCAGGAGCGGAGGCGGCACGGACCGCCAGACCTGCGCGGCTCCGTCCACGGCGCGAGGCCCGCAGCCCTCGACTATAGCGCACGGGGCCCCTGCGAGGCGGGGACGCTGTCCATCACCATCGCCCTTGCGCGGGAAGCACAGGGACACACTAGCACTACAGTAGAAGCTCGACCACAAGAAACCTTTCACGAGAAACCCAACCCTGAGACCCCAGGACGTCCACTGATTTGTTACGTGGGAAAGTCACGCTTTCCATCGCAAAACCATCGAAACCCAAAAAAAACAGGGCACCCTGGAGGCAAGCAGGGTGTTTCTTGGCATGGGTTTCCACTGTCTATGTCCTCCTTGGAGGCGCGCGTCCAACCCGACCATATAGATACCCGTCTTATAGTACATCGTCTCCCGAGCGGGTGTGGTCAGAAA